GAGGCCCACTGATCAATGTAACATTGGTGTAATACAAGCCAAGATACACTTTCAGGATTGTGATCGGGATTTGCACAATTATTTGTTGGGCGCTGGAGAGTCAATTAAAATATGAAAATGAAACAAGGCTGGAACAAAAAGCCACTAACAAAGGAATGTATGCGCCGAGAGGCATCTGGGCTATTTGTCTCATCATGGCAACAAAACCGTAACAGTAACCCTGACATGAAGAACAGGGGACAGCAAGCCGGGTAGTTTAAGTTTATATACAAACCACGGCGCAAAAAATTTATGACAAGTGTCGTTGGCTCAAAAGCCAGGCACTATGAATAAAATCAGGAAAAAGCCGGGATTCTCAGAACGGGAATCCACAGCACTAAAAATTTATGACAAGTGCCATTGGTTTCGGAGGCTGCCCTCCAGAGCCAGGCACGGATAACATAATAAAATGCCGGGAAAACATAGTCCACAGCATAAAATTTATGACTGAGTCTCAGGCTCATGCCAGAGAACAATTCCCGGTAGAAAAATTGGGAATTCATAAAATGACTTACGGAAGTTTTTTACGCATTTGCCTTAAGCACCACGGCAACCCGCCGAAAGTGTAATGGACACCACGATTGGATCCGCTACATAATTTTGTCTGGGAATTAGTTATTTTTTCTTTTTCAGGATGGCACCATGGCAGCCCGCCCAAGTGCCTACGAAAAATTTTTTGCGATGTAAAGATAAGTTCGGGGAAATTTCCAGGAGGGTCTGTGACAAAAATTAGTATGTCGGGCATCTGCTCCCAGCACCACGGTATCCCACCGAAGGTGCAAGCTAAGGGGAGATGTAGTCGATTTCGAAAGCAGAATCAAAAACAAATTTGGGTACCAACGTACACGCCTTTACACGGAAAAATCAATCCATGGGATAATTTCTAAAAGGATCTATCATATAGATAACAGAATTTCAGGCATCCCCCCTGGCACCACGGTAACCCACCGAAGGTGCAAAGGGAGGTGCAGTCAGTTCGAAAACCAAAACAAGACAAATTTGGGAAGGGCAGTCTGTTAAATTATTCTTTAAATTGAATCCAAAGCCTTCAGGATGGCTCCTCGAATACTCTTGAAATATAAGAAATTTCCATTGTCTGAGAAGTGTAAGCCGTCCTGTTGGAAAAGGGAGGGGAGGTAGCGGTCCAAAAATGCGGCTGTGGCTCCACAATGTGAGGCCAGGGTTTTGACTTCTGGAAATCAAGTCGAACATGCTGTACACACAGCGCTCACACCGTTCATTTGTAAGGGATACCTGGCGGGTCAAAACACGTTTCAAGGGTAGGCCAACTGTGATCTGACGGGCCTCTGTTTTATTCTTCAAAGCTAAGGCCAGATCAGTTAGCTGGTATGCAACTTCCTCCGGTGACAGAGCTGTGTTGCACAAGTCGTTACAACCTAACTCTAGGTATACAATGTCAACCCGGGGTAGTTCATCCCACAAATAAGAACTGTAGTCAAAAGATCGTACAGTACACCCGGGAACAAAACGGAAGGTGAAACTACAGTTATCACACCAGAAACTTTGATCTATCTCCCTGCCAGAGGCTGTGACCGTGCGCCGTTGCAGGAACGAGTGCAGGCGGGCAACAAAGGAATGACCCAAGATAAGGATGTTTGTATTCTGGGGGGAGGGGCCTCCGCCATGACTGTCAAAGGAAACAAATCAAAAAACACTCACCGCAAACGATTGGAAGAGTATTTCCGCCAAGACCCGCCGTACGGTAACTCACCAACACACCCGATGCAAAAGAAAACAAAGCTGGCAGCAATAGGACCGATAAAGGTCAGAAAAAAGGACGTGAGAAAAATGGGCGTGCGTCTCTTCAAGTCTCAGTGTAGAAGAGGACGTGTGACGCGGGAAGTTTCCAGAAGTTTACTCCTCGTGGCTTTTCTGTTCTCTGATTGGCTGCTCAGCATGTGGACACCGCGTGATTCAAAAGTGATTTCGGAATGATACAACTAAGGGCCAAATTAAAGCAAAGCTCTGTTCCCGTCGTCCGGCATAAAATCAGTATTTGATAAGTATTTATTGTGACAGATAATATGATTTTGCTGTGAACAAGCATTCTTACACTTGTACATTATAACTACTACATCATAACAACTATACAGCAAATACACTGATCCTGAAATGACCAGAGAAATCATATATATTCATGATCAATTTGCAGAAACAAAAAGTTGTATTTGAAATGCAATGACTTATGACAAGATTTAATTTTATTACTAATATTTACTATTGTATATATGTAGAACAGCTAAATATTGCATTTATGATTTTTTTCAAGATTTAACTAATATCTGTTACTATTTGTCATCAATGGACAACAACCGAATGTTGTTACTTTCAGTTAGATGCAACATACGTGGGTGTATACCAACTAACCATGTAGCATTTCTGTTGTGATTTAACCCTTTATTACTTAATATTCACCTCGGGGCGGGTCATTAACTCTTAATTCAAATGCTATATAATATTAATCATAATACAAAAACTACATAATTGATTAATGTCATTTACCCTCGGCCCAATGTGACTTTAAATTATGTATTATTAATAAATTGTGATATGATGTACAATTTACATAAAAGCAAACTGTTATCTATCCTAGGGCCCGGAAAAAGATAACAGGCACAGATGAGATGGTCGCTGTCCTTGGTACTGATCACGTCATCTGCTTGTAACGTTACCACAGGCACCTGTCGTTCTATAGCAACCCGTCAGGTGGCGCATCCCCACTTGAGACCCTCTGCGCAGCTGCCTCTGAGCTAGCTTTTCCCTGCTTCTATCAATTTTCGCTGTACTTAGTTTGACTAAACTCAGCCACGCTTAAGGGGCATTATGAAACATTTTTGCACAAAGATGTTCTTGTGATTGTAATTTACTTCCATTTGTCGACATATTTGGGCTGACATTTCTTACATTTATGGTTGGTGCCAAATCAGTCAGCACGAGCCGCCTGCATTTTGTGGTGCCACCACAAACTACCAGAATTTAAACAAAAATGGCTGAAAGCTGTGTTTCCAGCTTTTAAATGTAACTTTACTCTTAAGGCGTCATATTATGGCACCTACACTTCCAGAATAGCACATATTTACGATGGAGTATGGTTCATTCGACTTACTTTTTAAAGAAATGACAAGAAAATGTACTTTTTGTATCGTCCTAATGTTACACAACGCAGCTTTAAACGTTATAGTGGTATTATGTAAGATTTTCCCACCAAAACTGAAAAGGAGGCTCCTTTCATTATTCTAAAATAGAATGTTAACAAGCAACGGTTTTCGTTCGGGAATCTTCTGCAACTTCCCGCGCGCGTCTGGGTTCGAACGCAGGTGTTCGAAGCCGATCGCGCGATTGACTTCAAATTTGACGATTTTGGAATGGTCAGTACCTTGAACTAAAATTCTCCTTTTGTACATATTTGAAAGTTATTGTCACTTATAATATTATTGCATGTGGTGTCCACATTGGACGGGGTCGGCCCTATGTTACGACAGCCCTATGTTACGACAGCCCTATGTTACGACAGCCCTATGTTACGACTGCCCTATGTTTTGACGCCCCCTTTTTTCAACGCGACACCAAATGATAAATTGTAAATGTATTGAGTGTAATGATGTCGAAGGAAATTTTCACGTAATATATTGTCACTGACAGTGTTTCCGCCAGACTGCAGCTGAGAGATCCTGAGAGGCCGCCCAGTTGGGAAGGGCCGGGTCGCGAAAATTAATTAAGTTTTGGAACACGTCGCGAAAATTAACTGAGGGGCGGGGCATTTGTTTACACTTGTTTACAATTTGAAACTGTCCACAAGTATTCCACATTTTTTAACAAGTATTGACATAAAAAAACACTGCTACAAATGGCAAACGTATCGTCAGGAATACTTAATTAGGACATCCTGCTGCAAAACTCCGAACATCGGCATCATTTATTTCAATTGTAACCTCAGGTAGCGCCCGCGCTGGCCGGATTTTAATAGTGAAAAGCCTTGCGTCGTCAGTACTTCTTCCGTACTAGCAACATTTCCGCTACAAATTACTAGTTTATATCACGCCAAAAATACATCAAAACATGTAAAGAAGCGTCATCTTATCTCTCATACACGAGACAAATTTTGAAAATAATTGGCTGTATCGTAGCTTTCATTGCTGTTTTATTCAACAAAAGTGCTCCTTGGTTGTAAAATGATCACTCATCTGTTGTCTCCAGTACAGTTTCAAATGGTAGCGTGATTGTAGCGTGCGAAAAATCGGCGTTAAAAGTCAGAAAATCGCCGGAAAATAACTTGCAGCACGCATTCGCTACCTCGCCGTAGAAGAAAATACGCGCCATTTTCTCATTAATATGTAAATAGCAGCGTGAACTCTACGCTCTGATTGGTTGACGTCATACAATTTGTCATACCAATACGAAGAAACGAATTTTATGACATTACGCGAAATGTATCAAAATGTAGCGGAAACTCAGGATGGTGTGTGTCAGTAGCTACAACTGGGCTTAAATTTCACCGTCGCGATGTGTGCACCGTTTTCTTGGGGGCAAACCCGTTTGTCCTAAAACTAACCGGGGGACTTATCGATGTAAAGGTAAATGCAAAGAAGTGGGCTATCACACTGTGGTATTAGCTAATGGAATCCAGTTGACCAGTAAAAAAGACAAGCACAAATAAACTGACCAAAAATGCTCATGTTTGGAAGGCCGTAGTGATCTCTGTCATTTTTAAATGCACGATATATCTACATGGTTGTACTGGGCGAATGCTATAGATGTGAAAAAGTATAAACATTATGTAGGTCTAATGTCTTTTTGTTGTACTGCAACCCATCTTAGGCTGTATGGTGGGGTGATGTATTAAGCTCAACCTGTAGGTCGATCACCCTATTTGACATTTCTCGCACGACCGGATAGATTACGATGTCAAAGGTCTGCAAACAAAGCTTGCTACGCCCTAGCGGTCGGAACCACTGGGGTCTGTACAAGGAGCCGCTGGGGCGTTTTCTTGAGGGTAATCTGCCAGGTGTTTTTGCTAGGAACGTCAAAAGCTTTCTTGTCATCAACTCGTCACCCCGGCGTGAAACCGGACCACTCTTCAACACAACTACAAAATCACACTGTGTACAACACCGTGCCTGATCCTTCGTGAGGACTCGGAAGCAGCAGGTACTGTGTGAATACTAGTAACTGCTTTTACCTCTAGACCGGAAAATCACCCCCCCCCCTCCTGCAGTGGACTCCATAACTCATCTTGACTATTTGGAGGTTCTATTGAGTGCCGCATTCCCATATCGTTAGCTATGTCCCCACGGGATACAACGTTACTCTGTATATAAAATGACGTTTTGTAATAAAGCTTACAGCAGTAATGTGTAATGTACTACACAACCAACCAAACGGAACTGATTACTAGTGCACGGCCGGATCGATAGTCTCTTTGCACTGCAGTAACACTTGGAATCACCTTTTATTTCAAGCTACAGTTTCTAATAAATCTAAAACGATTATGGCACCATGTAAGCCAAACGTACGTTGAGCTCATGGAGTGTACCGTGGCATGTGGAGGGGCGGTGCCCAGGTACTCTCGTCCCTGTAATTAAGAATATGTTACCATCTTAATTAACTTGGGCTGCATTGTCCTTTTCTGCTCATTGCTACAGGAAGTACGCCAGAACTGTAAGGTGGTTATGGACAGCCAGATGACAGGGAGATCAAGTAACCATTATATCTTTTTTCACATTTCTTAAAGGGCGATGTGGTTGATGACGATAACTGTGGGGTTAGTAACCCTGATTTTGGTCACGTGGTTGAGGGACTATGTAAGACGCTGGCGCATGCCTCCTGGACCATTTTTCTGGCCAATCATTGGGAACCTTACCTGTAAGTATACATAAATAAATTTAATAGTATCTCATATCACCTAGTATTTAACCACAAATTAATAGGTACTCTCTCTATGCATAATTTGTATACATCGTATTTACTGACATGTGTGACTATGTATTGTCAGCAACAGGCATAGTATCTTCGGTAAAACACTATATTACAGGTCCCAAATCTGTATGATCATTTTTAAGCAAAACCTGTTTTATTACCTTCATGAAAAATTGGAGCTATTGTTTTTGGCGTGTCTGTCTGTCTGTCTGTGTGTGTATGTGTGTGTGTGTGTGTGTGTGTGTGTGTGTGTGTGTGTGTGTGTTTGTGTTTCCGCACATTTGTAGTCAGCATAACTTCATAACGCCTTTATGGATTGTGATGATATTTGGTATGCTGGTAAGTCTTAGGTCAAGGTCAAATATTGGCCTCCTCGTGGATGACCTTGGTACTGCAGCGAAACTTCCGGTTTTTGTATCTTTTGTTACTTCTCAACATGCTATGGTCTTGACTTTTTGGAGACAGATAGCGTTTCCTGTCATAAATAAGCGGTGTGAATTTAATCCCCCTAGCAGCTTGTTCTGGAACTGCAGGTTAGTTTCTGGCGAAACCTTTAAAAGCCAATAACTCCAGATAGGAACAACGTATTTTCATCATTTTTGGTGTGTAGGTAGCTGAGAGAGAGTTATACATAATTAAATGCAAATTATGTAAATAAGGACTTTATTTGCATAATTAAGGAGGAAATTCTATAACTACAGTGTTTTATATAGTAGTACTTTTATACATGTAATCTATTTAATCTGCGGCAGACGGAACATCAACAGATAACAATTATGCAAATTATGACATTGCTTAATTAATGTGAACATTCTGTGACTCCTTGGTGAATGATGGGAATTTTATAACTTGTGACATGATGTGTAAGTTACTTGAAGGTTAACACCACTATGCATATATCATGTTCATGTGGAGGTCATTTAATGATGACATGTTGAAATGAAGTATGACAAAGGAGAGGAATTTTACACGAAAAATATTGTCATGTGAATTTAGAAAACCATAAATTAAACTAGATTATGCTAATTATGACCTTCTTTCCATAGTCAATGAGACAGATAAAAAACATTCATAAAACTCATATATTTCATGGAGGTATGAGTCTCCGAATTCTTGTTGGATCTGGTTTGGCTGTATGCACCCAATGTCACAGCGGAACCAACTGATAAATAGTTTCCAAAATGGTCATAAAGATTTCATCTGGGGTTTGTCTTACTCCAGATGCAGGCACCTGTTAGGTTGGTGTTTGAGGTGCTGCGAGTGTACGGCGTCTTTCTGTTTTACAGTGTTTGGTGGACAGTTCTACCTCACCTTCATCGAACTCGCCAAGAAGTACGGGGACGTGTTCAGCCTGAAGCAGGGCATGACGGATGTGGTTGTGCTGAACAGTCTGGATGCTGTACGGGAGGCATTCGTTAAGAAGGGTGCGGAGTTTGCAGGCAGACCGACGTTCATGTCAGGTACGTACTGTGTCGGTATCAATATCCGGAAGGTACACTGGGCAGTGGTGATGAGTGAGAGATAGTGTGGCAATTCGTTTTAGAAGACAACAGGAGCTGTAAACCATTCCAAATTTTGCACATCTTCTATCCAATTTGTTCTTTCTACACAAACCTGTTCATTCAAAGCTGAAGCAATACGTAGTACAAATACATACAAAATTTTAATCAGTACAAGTAACGAAATGGAAGTTATCATGCAATTCCATAGACGATTATCACACACACAAATTAGGGTCAAGACTCAAGACTTTGTGGCTTGTCCTCCAAGATTCCTACTTGATTATTAGTTCATGGAATACTGGTGTGATGAAGGTGTGTATGAGTGAAAGAGGAAAAAGTAGACACCATTGATAGACTAGAACCAAAAATCGTATTCACTAAAGTGATATTCTCTTCCAGCGGACATCTTAACTGAAGGAGGGAAGGACATAGCCTTCACCGACTACAATCCCACATGGAAACTCCACCGGAAACTGTTTCATACTGCCATCAGGTAGGGTTCAGACAGTATGTGAGGCAAATTCAGGCTAGTGGGGTCGTGTGTCGTAACGGCAGAGTGCTCGACTCGGAACCAAGAGGTCCCGGTTCGAGTCCTGACATGCCACCGATCTTGTGTCCTTGGGAAGAACTTAACACGACTTCCTCACTTAACTCAAGTGAAATGAGTATTGTCCTGTTATGTATTTGTCCTCTGTTTTGGTGACGGCATAAAATAAGTTGATATAACTGGAGTGTGCCGCCATCGTGTCTAGTCAGGAAATGTTGCAATAAGAAAAAGAAAGTCAGGCTAGTTTTCGTGATAAATGTATGTACCCATTTGCCACACTCGTTTTTACATATCCTCAAGAAGCAAAACTAGACATGCTGTAGTAGGCTTAACTTCAGGATAAGGGACAGGCCAAAGAAGCGAGCCGTGCTAGAATCGGATACCAAAGTAGATGATTGTCCAATTCAATATTGAGCTGTTGACGGAAATCGTGGCAGTTTCTATAGGGAATACACATGGCCCCCAAAATATCATTCATTGCTGCTTAATTGCCTTTAGAGGTTACGCATCAGGAGAGAACCTACAAAGTAAAGTTCACGAGTCCTTAGAGGAGACCATCGCAGAGTTCTCAAGGATGGAAGGTCAAGCAGTGAACATCGAAAAATACATTTACAAGCTGGTCTACAACGTCATTTGTTCCGCAGCCTTCGGCATAAGGTATCGGTCCACCTACAAGTTTGACCTTGCACATGCATGTAATACTGTAATAATGCAGCGGGTACGACAATTTGGACGTCATTATTCCTGTCCATGTTCAGTGTACGTAGTGGATATTCAGATTTATTTGAATGATAAAAAGGCCATATTTCTTCTGTTATATTTGTTTTTGTGCGTTGAACGTCTAGATGTTTCTGTATATAACAATGTTTGTTATACTACGGTAACCCGATTCGGGAACATCAGAAAACGGTCAAATGGACACGCTGGTGTATTGCTGGTGTTCATTTACCAGGTTTATCAAATGGTTTTTGAGAAAATGCTGAAGCTAGTATAAGTTACAGTCCATGACTTTGCATTAGGTACAATATGGACGACGAGGATTTCAACACTCTGATGCAAATAAGCAAGGACACAACCGAAGTATTCGGACAAGGTATTCTGGCTGACGTCTTTCCTTCGCTTGGGTTCCTGCCTACCCCGGGTAAGTAGCTAGACATTCGGCCTCCTCTGTTTTCCTTGTGTCTGTTTGCATGTTTGTCTATTTGTCCGGTTATTACCTCCATGAAAAATGGAGGTATTGTTTTTGGCGGGTCTGTGTGTCTCTGTGTGTGTGTTTGTGTTTCCGCACATTTGTAGTCAGCATAACTTCATAACACCTTTATGGATTGTGATGTTATTTGGTATGCTGGTAAGTCTTAGGAAGGCAAACGTCAAGGTCAAATATGGGCCTCTGGTGGAGGACCTTGGTACTGCAGCAGAACTTCCGGTTTTTGTATCTTTTGTCCTGAACATGATATATGGTCTTGACTTTTTGGAGACAGATATCTTTTCCTGTCAGGAATAAGTGGCGTGGGTTTGGTCCCCTTAGCAGATTAATCTGGAACTGCAGCAGGGACTTTCTGGTGAAATCTTGAAAAGCCAAAGGGAAAAGTCCAGATGGGAACGTATTTTCATCATTTTTGGTGTGGAGGTAGTTGAGAGAGTTGTACATAATCAAATGCAAATAAAGACTTAATTTGCATAATACAGGAGGAAATAACCGTGTTTCATATAAAATTACTTTTATACAGTCATGTAATCTATTTAATCTGTGGCAGGCGGAACATCAACAGATACTAATTATGCAAATGATGACCTAATTTGCATAATCAATATGAAAATTTCATATTATTGGTGAATGATGAGAATTTTTATACCTTGTGACACCAATATGCATATATCATGTTAATGTAGAGTTCATTTGCATAATTAATGAGGACATGTTGAAATAAAGTATGACAAAGACACGAAAAATATTGTCATTTGAAATTGGAAAACAATAAATTAAACTAGATTATGCTAATTACGAGCTCATTTCCATAGTGAGACAAAAACATTTACAAAAACTCATATATTTCATGGAGGTATGAGATCTACGAATTCTTGTTTTCAGATGCTAGGTCGGTGACAAGATGTGGAAGTCAAAGGCACTAATAATTAATCAACCTTGTGGTGCCAACATCCTGTGTGCATTCCGGGCGATTCGGTGTGCCAAAGCAGTAAATGTGTCTGTTACAACGTTACCAAATAAAGAAAATTGATAACATGATAACTACAGTAGCCATTGTGTTTTGAAACCGCCCATTGTGTTTACCCCCTATACAGGCAAGGCTGCCGTCCAAAAGCTAACCAGATCTTTCCTGGATATCATGCAGCGTCACCTGGACCAGCACCGGGAAACATTCGACCCAGGTAAGGCGACATCATCATTTCCCACATGAAGTAACTTACCTCGGTATGTGTATATACGGAGATCTTCTTTGTGTTTATCTGATTGTTTGGTGCTCGTATTTGAATACATGTACAATTTTAATAGATCACGTCGTGGGGTCGCGTGGCGTAACGGCAGAGTGCTCAACTCGGACCCAAGATGTCCTGGGCTCAAGTCCTGCCATGCCACCGATCTTGTGCCCTTGGGAAAGACACTTATCACGAATTTCCTCACTTAACTCAAGTAAAAATGAGTATTGTCCTGTATTTGTTCTCTGCGTTGGTGCCGTCACCATGTCTAGTCATGAAATGTTGGAATAAACAAAATAGACCAACTGCCGCGAGAGGAGATGGTGTACCCGCAGACTGACAGGAAGATCGTATTGGCCTGAAAATGGTCTGACCAGAGGCGTGGAGGACATGGTAGTGGAACACGCTCAGAATCTTTGAGAAATTCGCAGCAATGAATAAACCCTTGAATAGACCTTTAACATTGCTGAGATCGATGGCTGAGATGTGTTTGATGTTTGGACGCTTAACGAAATCGCTTCACTTGAGGAACTCCTTCATCTTAGTGTGCCGTACGTGAATGTTGATGTGCGCTTCTACAGGCAACCTTCGTGACATCACTGATCACATGATCAAGGCTCAGAAGGACGCTGAGGAGGAGGGGATCCAGGACATCAACTCTCTCACAGAAACTCATCTCAGACAGACCATCTCCGACATCTTCGGGGGTAAGCACATGGTTTTCTTCAATGCATTCTCATCAATGGTTTCTTTCACTACTAATTTCACATACCAGGCCATATCTAGTAATACTACATATTTGCATTCATCAATTTCAACGTACACTGTATGCATAATGTACTCCTGGCGTAATGTCAGTATGGTCTCTCCTCAGGGGGTACAGACACGACG